GGATAACAATTTTAGAAAAAGTCGAATTAAAAAAAAAAAGTTAAAATAATATTTTTTTAAAGTCAAGATTACTTGCTTCTGAAAAAATGCAGAAGTTAAAAGTTAAATATTTTTTTTAAAAATTTGATATTGCCCCAACCCCACTCAAACTACTTCACCCCACTGTCATCACGTATGTAGTATTTATATATGAAAAATGCTTACTAATTTTAACATTTAAATAATCTTTTTATTTAAAAGTGATTTTTATATAATTCATTCAAACGTAAAATAAATTTAGCTTTTAAAAAAGTCATTCTAAAAAAGCAAGCCGTAAAAAATTTATTTTTTTTAAAAGTCCCTCCAAACAGAACCTTAATACGTTTGACTTCAATTTAATATATACCATGTGGAATCCCACCTTTAGAAAAATAGTATTGGATGAGCTTTTACAAAAAAAACTTTTTATAATTTCCTTTTTTTAAAGTTAAAACTTTTATGTTTGGATGGAATATATAAAAAGTACTTTTAAATAAAAAAAATAAAATTATTTCGATGTCAAAATTAATAAGAAATTTTTATATATAAAATTACAAAAAAGGATTTACGATGTAGTGGCGCGGGTGGAATAGTTAGAGTAGGATTAAGATAAAATATAATTTTAAAAATTATTTAACTTTTGACTTTGCTTTTTTCAAAAAGGCAAAAAATCCTGACTTGAAAAAAAACTATTTTAATTTTTTAATTCTTTTTTTTTTTTTTTTGAAAATTACTATCCATATATGCATAAAATAACACAAAAGGACTTTAAAAAAAAAAAAACCCATTCAAACACTCACTAACAATTTGTGGCTATAATTTTTTTTTTTTGGGTAAATGGCTATAGTGTTTCTTAAACTGCACATCAAGTTGTAACATTATTAAGTTAATTGTTAAATATTAATAATTTATATTTTTATAATTATATAATTTATTAAGTATTACCAATAATTTCAATATGTATTTGACGATTGATAAAATGAGAAAAATAATATATTTTAAATTAGTACCAGCAAGTTTTACTATAGGTTCTGTCTAATTAAAGTTATTTAATTAAGCATTAAAATAAAAACCGATCTAACGATAATTAATTGGATACCTGATTCATAGTCAGAGACCACTTAGATTGATTGGTCCAGTTCATTCCAAACAAAATTTAAAAATAACAATATATCAGCGTAGCATTGGAAAAAATTAATGAATTGTCATTATACGTCTCTACGTCTATTCTTGGAAATTTGTTGGGACAAGAAGATGTGTCTTTCTTCTCGAATGAGGAATTAGTTATATCTTTTTTGATAGAGAAACTTAATACACCTACTATTTCAATGTGAAATAGTCTTTAAAGTCATACTCTGAGAACAAGGTGACGGAAGAAGTTAAATGAGAATATCTCAAGAAAAAAAAATTATTATATTTAGATTTAGGATAGTGTGGTTGGCATTTTAGTTGCCGTTCACACTACTAGGCAATAATTTGAGGGAAAATAAAGAAGAATTATTTTTTTTACTAGTAACCGTTCGATTTTATTTTTATTTTATGACTTTTTAATATATGTGGGCCCATACAATATGTGTTTGAAATATTTTTCTGCATGATAAAATTGAAACTCATAATTGAATGCCAATAACATGTTCCTTTATTTTCTGACTATAAATTAAAATTGACAAAACAAAAGTTAGTAGCATTTATAATCTTTGTAAAAAATATACATTTATTAAAAAATAAATGTAATTTTCATAAAAAATTAACGCACAATTTACTCTCTTTTTTTTAATTACATTTGACGTGCAAAAAATTAAATTAGAATATAAAATAGCAAAAATGCCACACCCCTTCAAAAAAATATAAATAAATGTGTTACAATCTAGTTCATTAACCTCTTCACCCACAAATATATACTATGGGTAGGGGTGATAAACGAGCTAGGGGCCTTTGTCTCAGCTCGTGAAGGCCTGAGCTTACATGCCTAATATTGGTTGTTGGAACCAGGCTTGGACTTGTATAAAAACTCGTTTAGTAAAAAGGCCTCAGGCTCAAATTCAAAAGCTCGGCCTTGGAGCCTCTCAGGCTGGCCTAGTATATTAATTTTTATTTATATTTTTTATACTATTTGTAATAGCTCTCTCTCATCTCAATCTATTTTATCACTATTTTATTAGTTAAACAGACTTTTTGAATGATTTTGTACTATTATGTTGTTTGGATATACATTGAATTTATGAATATTTATGAAATTACTAGTATTGTTGATTGTATATTCTGTTTGGATAAATATTTGTTGTCTTATTTTTTCAAACAGGCTAATAGGCTAAATCAGGCTTTTATTTTTTGTAAATAAGGCAGGCCTAGACCGATAATTATATTCGTAACAGGTAACGAGCTTGATAAGGCCGACATATTTAAACACAGACTTAATCTCTTAAGATCAAAACTCGGCTCGACTTGGACTGACACCCCCTTACTATGGATAAAATAGATTATTCCTTTTAACCGGTCTGGACTTTCCTACCAACCGGTATCGAACTGTATCGATTCTTTCAATTGAACCATTTTTTATTGAGACTTGCCCACATCACTTATTATTATACATTTATACTACGTACGAGGATTTCAATGTTAAAATATATTTATTATTATATTTATTATATATTTTTAGAAGAATATTATGTTTAGAAATTTTTTATTTATAAACTATATTATATATGTATTCCGAAAAATACACTCATTTGAGATACTATTCAAAATATTATAATCTATAAATAAAAAATTTACATATCTCGTATTTTTATATAAATCTGAATTAACTGATTGAAACAGTCATCTATTAATTCAGAATTTAATAACATTGCTTTGACTCCCAACTTCTTTAGAGGGAGTTATACATTTAATATAATTGTTAGATTTGATTTTGATTCAACAATCATAAAATAGTTATAAAGAAGAAATCTAAGTATAATCTCTCCAATTCTTTTTCCCCATTTTGTCATTATAATTTATTTATTTGTATTTCATTAATAAAATAAGAGTAGCTTATATTTAAAATCAAATTTTCTTATAACCACTTAAAATTATTTTATTATCTCTGGATCAAAATTAAAGTAACGGTTAAAAATATTAAAGTGATTTAATATTTCTTATTTTATTGAACAAATGTTCTCAATCAGTTTTATTTATTAATGGTTAAGATTCATTATTAAAACTATTTCTTATTTTATCGAACAAATATTTTCTTTTTTTTTTTAAAAAAATATTAAAATATTTTGCATGTTTTGATTTTTTTATAGTTTTATATTAAATATGAGGTAGGATCCTTTGACACCAGTGTCAAATTTGAAATTTGACACCTCATCCGAGAGCCATTAGATCATAAAAGATCAATGATGTCACATGCTTACAAATCAGAGTCGTTGATCTTTTTTGATCTAACGGCTCTCAAATTTTAAATTTGACACTGATGTCAAAGGATCCTTCCTTATTAAATATTTATAACTATACGAATAAAAAAATATAAATTAATGGGCACGTTTGTCCTTGTCCATCTCATTCTGCTAGTTTATAATATCACATTAGTATTATATATATAAATTAATAACGAGGTTATACTTACAAAAATTTTTGTGTTATAACATTTTACAATCATTTGTGTTATTGTTGTATAAAAATCAAATCAACAATCCTCAAGTGAGGGTTATTATGTAACTCTAAGTTTGATTTTAATCCAATGATAATAAAAATAATTATAAGAGGAAATAATTATAAGAGGTTGTAAAGAAAAATAGATTATAAATATAATTTTTTCCAAATTGAATATATTAATTTGATATCCTTGTAATAATTCTTATATAACATTTCTTTAAATTTTGAACGCGTTGATTTCCAAAATCAACTACTCATTACTTTTTAGTTAATATAATACCATAGCAATATTTTTTATATAAATTTTTTACTATATAATACAACACCTCTCTAATGGCACTCTATATAGCATTTGTTTAAATCAGGAACCAAACTCATTGATTTCCTATAACCTTTCAATCATCTAGAAGACATAATTAAACTCATATTTAATCTTCGTGAGCCTCTTAGCAAGCAAATAATTTATATCTAGGATCAAATTCTGTGGTGTTAATTCAATCACCCCCCGTCAGCATCTTGAAAACAGAGAGGACCTTCCGCGTTCCAAACGCGTTTATTTCCTGCATCCCACGAGGAAACTTCCAAATTTTTTCTCACTATCCAACTTTTAAACCCAAATTTATAAAGAGGACATTTTGTTTTAGGAGAAGATTATATTTATAAATTTTTTTTTTATAAATTATACTAAATATAACAAGTCATACGTCAATTAAGAGTGTGTGACAGATTATAATTAGTGTAATTTATAAAAAAAAGTTTGTAAACAAATCATTTTTCTTTGTTTTAATGTAATAATATTTTGATTAATTGTTAAATATTTATTAATTAAGAATAGGTTTTAATGTATCTATGGTGAATCTAGATAAATTATCTACATTATCTTAAAAAAAATATTATTTTGCGTTAAAAAATTATAATGAAAAAAATTAATATAATTCTAAAATAAATTATAATTATAAAAATATATTAATTTTTGCTTAAAAACAATATCTTTTTTAGCTCAATATAAATAACTTATATAAAATAAAAAGCACTTAATAATAACACTTAATAAATTATCATAAAAAAACAAGTAACCCAACTAAGACAATTAGAATACCTTAGCAACACAAGTCTATGTAGAAAAATAAACAATTTCTTTTCGATAAAAACCTCTAATGAAATGGCGATTACTCGTCGTGTGTGGACTTTCTGTCCCTATAAAACAACACAATGTCTCTCACACACGAGCAGACACAGACACGCTAGAGTTAGCTCCCTCTCTGCATCAGTGTCGAAATTCCTCCCCTTTTTCATTTCATCCATTTTGTTTTGATTACGATTCCTGATTTTGATTGATTCAACCAATCCCTCTTTTCCCTTTTTTCTTTTTTGAAGATGGATGTGAAAAACAGGGGAGTTCCATTGACCACTATCTTGCTCTTTCTGCTCCTTTCTGCCATTTTCCCATCCTCTTTCTCAGAAGCCATACATCCCCTCAACATCACGAAGGTTGCTAATTCCTTTGGTTCCTCTGCCGTTTTCCCGATTCATGGAAATGTTTATCCACTTGGGTATGTTATATATCCTCTGATTTCTTCATCAAACTTAAGTCTTAAACTAGTATCAACTTGCTTATTGTTTATTATTCTCTAATTCTTTCTGTACTATTGTTTTTACGTTTTCTGGGCTCTGGTTTTATTGGATAGCTTTGAACTTGTGGTTTTGTTATGATTTGAGCTGTGCTAATCGTTTGCAACGTTTTCTATATAACCCGTATAAGAAAAAACTGAAACTTTTTCTGATCTGGATGCTGATTCTGCTCCCCTCCTTTAATTCTCATGTTATCATGTGATGTTTGAGGATTGCATATCATTTAATCATCGGGTCCACTATTTGTCTTTGACTAGTTCTTTTCGCAGGAAATTTCAGAACCCGCTTCGTGCGTATCGAATTCATCTAGTTTTCGTTGAATGGCCCCATTATTCAATTTCTAAATATTTTTTAGTGAAAGAACAATTTACAAAAAGTTGTTTGAATTGAATGCTTTCACATGTTATTTAATACGGCGGGAAAAAGAAGGATTTTTTTTAACATGTAAGTTTGTGTCATTTTAAGTGTTTTACACAAAATATAATTGGTCTTATTTTGTGTAAAACTGAAAAATTACTTTTTTTATCTCTCTTTCCAGTCACATCGCTGACGTGTAAATTGAAAAAAAAAAAGTAACTTTTCAAAATTACATAGAGTACGACCGGTCATACTCTGTGTAAATCACTAAAAGGACACAACTCGTGTCCTTTTGAATGACACACACTAAACCCATTTAACATATATGTGTCGTACGGGAGGATTTTAACTATATATAGGTGAATTAACATGATAAAAGATGAGATAAAAAGAAATATTAAGGATTGAAAATTACAAAATTATCAATTTATTTGTTAATGGTTACGATGCTCCCAACTAATATTATCATATTAAATAACAGTTTCATTTCCATTGTTTGACTGACCCATCCCTCACTTTAATTTTTGTTTTTGGTAATTTTTATAACACACGTTACATTTATGGGTTTCCATGGTCAAAACCCTCTCTTAATAGATTTCAAAGTATATATATATATATATATATATATATATATATATATATATCGGAGAGGATTATATTTACAAACTCTTACTAACTACACCATGTATTCCTGTAAGTACATTAGGTTACACTATGTACATACTTCCGGGAGTACATAAAATTTATAAAAGTTCACTATATATATATATGTGTGAAAAAAAATTTGTACTTTTAAAAAATATAAGTTATGTCCAATATAGAGTTATATCATTTTAAACGAGAAAAAGACATAAACTAATATATTTTTTTTTTTAAACTTAAATTAAAAAAATAATCCACTTTCTTCCCCTATTATATATATATATATATATATATATATATATTTGAAGTGTTTTAATATATAAATGTAGCCCCTTTTTGGTTCATAGTGGCTTTATAATGGCAACATGGTGGATTGGTGGTTGATTTTCTAGAACTGAATTTCACTTTCGGGTCAAGTTTTATAATAATTCCTTGAATTATACATTTATACCTGTACGTTTCTCTTGATGCAGGCATTACACGGTGTCCCTGGGCATTGGCAATCCCCCAAAGCCTTACGACCTAGACATTGACTCCGGTAGTGATCTCACTTGGGTTCAGTGTGATGCACCATGTAAAGGTTGCACAAAAGTAAGTTCTACATTAGAACATTCTGAAGTCGTTTTCAAGTTATTACTAACCGGACATCTTATGCTGATCCTCGGTTCTTTACCTGGTTTATTTGCAGCCTCGCCATCAACTTTATAAACCTCACAAAAACCTTGTGCAATGCGCGGATCCCTTGTGTGCTGGATTATCAGGCCATCAATGTGCTGCCCCAACTGAGCAATGTCACTACGAGGTTCAGTATGCAGACCATGGATCATCTTTTGGTGTGCTAGTCCGAGACTATGTTTCTCTCCGATTCGCCAATGGCTCTTCTATACGCCCTGGTTTGGCCTTTGGGTGAGTCTTTTCTTTATGATTGGAAGTTCACGGATTTGAGTGTAAGAACCAATTAATTATGAGTTAGTGTGTTGCATGATAGGCATGGATATCATCAAATGATAAGGTTGTTCCTTGTGACAGTAAGGTTACGGATTTGAATATAGAAAACAATTAATCATGAGTTTGTGTGTTGCATGATAGGTGTGGATATGATCAGAAGTACTCTGGTCCTTCCTCGGCACCTTCCACAGCAGGGGTTCTTGGCCTTGGCAATGGCAAGACAGGCATTTTGTCCCAGCTTCGATCTCAGGGCCTGATTCGCAATGTTGTGGGCCACTGCTTAAGTGGGCAAGGAGGAGGGTTTTTATTCTTTGGAGATGGCCTCATTCCCCCATCTGGAATTGTTTGGACACCAATGCTGCAGGGTTCCTCCGAGTGAGTGTTGAAATAAATGTTATTTTGTTTCCATCTGAGATGTTGCCACTCATGAGAACCTAACTTTATACACAATCTTTGTTTCAGAAAACACTACAGCTCAGGTCCAGCAGACCTGTTGTTCAATGGAAAGCCTACTTCTGTTAAAGGTCTTCAACTTATCTTTGATAGTGGGAGCTCCTACACATACCTCAATTCCCTGGCTTATAAAGCTATTATTGATCTTGTAAGATTGAAACTAAAAAAGACTTATATATATCATTTTCATTTTCTTATTTGGCTCTTATGATAATCACCTCCCATCTTCAGTTAGTAATCTTTAATTCATGATTCAGGTTACTAATGATTTAAAGGGGAAGCCTTTGAATAGAGCAGTTGAGGATCGATCACTACCAATTTGTTGGAAGGGTGCAAAGCCTTTCAAATCTCTACGTGATGTCACCAACAATTTTAAGCCCCTAACACTGAGCTTCACAAAATCAAGGAATTCCCAGCTGCAACTACCACCGGAAGCTTATCTAATTGTCACTGTGAGCTCCTTTTGAAGACTATGAGCTACTTTCTCTCCCTCTTTAATGAATGGTAAGAAATGAAATTATGTGTCTATTGTCTTAACATGCTGTCTTTTTTTTCAGAAACATGGCAATGCCTGCTTGGGGATTCTAAATGGCACTGAAATAGGACTAGGAAATATCAACATAATTGGAGGTAAGGCATTAATGAAATATAAGGGATACTAATTTTTCGTTATCTTTTTTAATTTGATAATTTGATTGTAATACATATTCTTCTGTTCTGAACAGACATCTCTTTACAAGATAAGGTAGTGATTTATGACAACGAGAAACAGCAGATTGGATGGGGCTCTACCAATTGTAAAAGACTTCCCAAGCTATAATCAATATATTTTGACTGCCTATAACGTTTTCTTGTATCATTTCCGGATTCTCAGTGAGGAATAATATCTCCGAATTCTCAGCGAGGAACTCTTTATTTTTAACATCACCGGATTTTCATCAAGAAACGCTACAAACACACTTATTTTTCTTTCTGCATTAAGTGTTATGCGTATATTATAAATCAAAATTATAAATCTTATAAAAAATTATATATGCATATAAATATTGGTCAAACATGTTATATGTTAATAATTCAACAAAAATCAGCACATGATATGAATATACAATATGTCTGTTAAATATAAATATCATATTATTTTAAAAAGATTAACTAAGATGAGACAACTTGTTAATCATGTAATTATCTTTTTGGATTATTATAGCCGTGACAGTTTGATGATCCTAAACTTTCAAATGAATTTTCTTAAAATTATTTTCAAAATAAAAATAAATCAATACATAAATATTTTCTATAGAACGACGTAGCTTTGAATTTCCTTTTGCAAAAAAAAATACGTTGAAGCAGGGCCCTTCATGTTAAGCCCAAAAATAATTTTTCAAAGATTACTTTTCTTTTTCAATAATCAATCTTATTTAATTTTTTGCGGGTAATAAATATTTAAAATTTTATTAATAATTCACATAATTAATTTAATGTAACCATTTTTTAAAATGGATGATATAAGGTGGTAACACCTTTCATATTCATAATCTCCAATACCCGGACACGCAAATTTTTAGAAAAAAGGCGTGTCGGACATATGTCCGACACGGACACGCTTCGACACGTTCCGACACGTGTTTGACACGCGGTTAATATCTTAAGACACGTTTTCAATTCTCCGACACGCAGCGACACGTTCTTTCGACACATAGTCAACTTTTTCTGACACGTGGTCAACACTCGGACACGCTCGAACACATTTTTTTTAGTCTTAATTTTATTTTATTAAATAAAAATAAAAAAGCATTTATAAATCAAATTTTGTTGTTGTGAAATTTGATATGAAAAATTAACAAGGTACGAAAAATTATTTTTGTTTATATTTATGTTATGAAATTTGAATATTTGATTCGTTATATAATTTATTATGGACTGTTATATCTATTAAATATAAATTATATTATATATATTAAAAATATTATTTAATATCAAAACGTGTCGCAACGTGTCGAAATATATTTTTTTAAATTAACGTATCGGCATGTCGTGTCGTGTCGTGTCCCGTGTCCCACCCATAGCTCATAATCGACTTTCAAATTTATTTCTGTTTTCAAGAATTAGTTTTCTTAAACAAAAAGATTTTTCCAAACTAAACATTGGTAAATTTCAATTTTTTTCCGTCACGTCACAATCGATTGTAACAGTATGGCTTCAAAATCATTTTTTTATAGATCATGATCTGATCCATATCCAAAGAATAAAAAGCCGTTTGGTTACAAAAGTATTTTAAAAAACCAGTTTTTATACATTGAATTTATTTGGTTTGATTTAATTTGGATCTTTTACACACTCTTATTTCTCTTAATTCTGAAACTGATGAATAATTAACCTTTTCTCTTCAACCTATAAAAATAATAATATAATATTATTGTAATATTATTACGATAATAAATAGTAAATTTTTATAAAAGTTTTCCTCACAAAACATGAGAAATTTTATTATTATTCTTTATACGTAAAATATCAGCCTGTGTTAATTTTTGGCAATATCAGAAGGGAATCAATTTATACTTTGAAATTTTTTTAAACCGATATTAAATAGTCCCCTACATATGTTTACATTTTTCCATGGGATTAATATATTGTTTTATTTTATGGTAGTTAAAATAGGTGATTTACGATGCAAAATGCGCATAAATGGTTATGTATAATAACTTTATGGTATTGCGTGCATTTTATTCGCAAGTACCTAAGTTAGATTATGATGACATAGTAAGCATTCTTGCTAATAACCCATTATTAAGTTTTGAGTTTGTTGTGTTGCTTTGTGCATGCATTGATGAATCTTTAACACGTATGACAAATTATGTACGGTGTATTTTTTTTGTATTGAATGGATTTTTGTAGCAGATTACTAAACTAAATGATGATAAGAGTAAACGATAAATGTTCATAAGCCATTATCAACTTTCAAATTTGCTTGGCTGAATTATTTTCAGTTTCTAATATATTTATATATATTAAGTTAAGAAAATCAGTTTTAAATCCGATTTTTCATTAATACACATAATTTCTTAACATATCAGTTTTAAATCCGATTTTTCATTAATACACATAATTTCTTAACATATCCACGAATATATATATATATATATATATATATATATATATGAGGTAGGATCCTTTGACACCAGTGTCAAATTTGAAATTTGACACCTCATGTGAGAGCTGTTAGATAAAAAAAGATCAACAACTCTGATTTGTAAACATGTGACACAATTTATTTTTTTTAACTAACGGCTATCAGATAAAGTGTCAAAAGATCCTACCTCATATATATATATATATATATATATATATATATATATATATATATTATTTGATTAGTCTAATTCAACTATTCAAGTAGTGTTCGACCTATTATAGAGGACGGCTATTTTAAGACCATTAGCTTTATTTATAGGACTAGAATTCGAGATCTGATAAACCATGGCCATTTGCTTGAATTCCCTTATTTCTGTTTATTGGGCTGAAAGTTGGAGCCATGGCCCTATTTCCACTTGGACCTGAACTTTTTCAATTTTCATGGCTAGTAAACCCAAGGTAATGAGGATATAGGGAACGAAAGTTTTAGACTCTTGGTGTTTGGTTCAAGTTTTTGGAGAGGATTACCGGTAATCCTTCTTTGGTAAATGTAATTATCACGTTTGGTAGAAGGAATAAATTACGATTCCCGGATATCCAAGGATTACCGGTAATTTGATTTATAAAGAAAAGTCACTATTCAGATTACCAAAAATAATATGGTAATTCGGAATACCAATCAGAATACCAAGTGAAAGAAAAGCACAACAATAAATTTTGAGACAAAAATACCCCAATACACATAAAAATCTAGACCCAATCTATCAATTACAAAAGTAAAAATAGTTTGGGGTTATTTTTGTAAAATAACCTCATATTCCAAGTCATATTTCGTTCTAAACCAAATATGGAATCAGTAATTTTTACCCAATATTTCCGGTAATATTTTGGCGAACCAAACACATCTTTCGTAAGATTCCAAGTAAACTCAATTTCTACTGAATTCCTATTAATCATGATTCCCGGTCACCAAAAAATTTCTCCTGTACCAAACACACCCTTGATTCAAACCTGGAACCCCATGATGGAAGCATGACTTCATAGTTCATACCACTGGCCCAAAACGCAAGTCTTAGTTTGGGGATCTTAGCTAGAAGGTATATATAAACCTTGCTATGCGACAGCAGATTTGTATTGGGCCTTCCGAACGGGAGCACTTCATGTTTCCTCATTGCAACTTTCTAATTTCTTTCGCTCAGTGTACCCAAAAAAATAAAAAATAAAAATAAATATCATTTTTGATCCCTAACAAAAATACGGTCTCCACTTTAGTCTCTTACAAAAAAATTAGTCGGTTGGTCTCTATGAAATTCAAAGTGGGTCATTTAATGTGGGTCTTTCTTGAATTTGTGAGAGACTACGATTTCAACTAAATGGGTCCACTTTGAATTTGTTAGGAATTTCGAGACTAATATTTTTTTTGTAAGGAACTAAAGTGAGGACCGTGTTTTTTTGTTAGGGACAAAAAATGTTATTTACTAAAAAAAAAAAAATCTTTCGCTTAACATATCCTAAAGTCTTCCTAAAGTCTTAAACTGTTAATACGGCTAAATCAATAAACTCGAACAAATTAATCTCATATTCATTTGCCCAAGTCTTAAAATAGCCTAAGAACAAATTAATCGTATGCCAATGGGCTAACCGAATCGTTAAGAAACCCAAGAATAAAGCAGTAGCAGCAAAATAAAACACTGATATGAATATAAAACCTATGAAAATAATAAAGAGGCAGTTTGTAATATGATAAATGTAGAAATCGAAGAATAAAATGAATCAATTAATAAAAGCCAAAGCTCAATCATAGGAATCATATCAAAATGTAATCTCATATAGATAAGTGTCAAAAACCATATACATAAGCTTCAAATAGGTTTGATGGTACGTACAACAAACAAAACAAAATTTTGGGCCATGTATTCTCAGTGCAACACACCATCCTTTGCACCATCGTGCTTAGCATACTTTGCCTCCTCATCTATGAAATCCTTGAAGCATTAGGTTTATTGGTCATTTCATTTATCAAGTGCTCATTTAGCACATTTTTAACCAATGTAGAACTTTACTATTCACACTTGGATTCTTAATATTTTACCCCTCAAATGTGAGTCCTAAGCCACATTTGCTTCCCCTCAAATGCAAGTTTATTCCTGTATTCATGGAGTACATAAAGATTTAACTATACTCATCAAGTCCTTGATTCCGCATCATAAATTTGGCTAACATATCAAACTCGAACACTACCCATCATATTCAGATCTCGGTTCACACAGGAGATCAACAATTGTCTCTTACACTTGGATTGCTATGTGACAATGTATGTGAATAATATATGGGTAAAGTGTGTGTCATTTTAAAGGATGTAAAGTTGTGTCATTTTAAGAGAGAGAAAGAGATAGATAAAGGAGGAGAGATAGTTGACAAAAAAATAAAGGTATGGGCCCCACCTCTTTGTGAGAGTGAAATAATATAAGTTGTGTCATTTAAAAGGATAAACATTTTTCCCATAATATATTGGGAAAACTTAAAAAACTCTCCTACAAGTTTCCTCAAAATCACTTAGTCTTCTCCCCGAAATTTTTAATCATTTATCCCCCTACTTCAATTTTTTTATCACTTACCCCCTAATTTGATTTTCCATCCAAAAATTTGTTAACAGAGTTATTTAAAAAAAAAAAACCAAATTAACCTTAATAGAAAAAGGAAAAACGCAATTTTAAAC